GTGGCCAAGATCCAGAGATGGCAACACCCAGCCGTTCCTGCTCTTCCTGCCACCGGCTAACAACTAACCAGCACCCATGCTGTATGCTTGTCTGGGCCTCAGACGGGGTCTGGTACACTTCTTGGCTCGGGATTGAGCCGGTGCTGACTTGACACGTCTGGTTCGCTGGCTGACGAACATCGTGTATTTTTAATAGACTTGCGCCAGTCCACCGGACCTTACCGCAGGCTGTCTCTGCCCCTGCCCCTTGGATATTTTTTCATTCGCTCCTTCTTAGACTGAGAAAAATTAATTAGATCACCAAATAAATTAGAAAAATATTGAAAGAAAAGAATTCCCACTTTAATTGTTGAAGCGGAATCAAAAATTATCACGAATAAGTCAGCTTGTAGGGCTTTAAATGACATAAAATAAAATAATTTCAAATTGTTCTTAGGAAAAATATTTTTATCATTGTGTATATAATCAAACCAAAACACCTCTTAACGAATTACAAATAGTGACGATCGCGCAAAAAATGTTGATATAATCTTTTGGGGCGAAATATGATTTTACGTTTGATTTAATAAACACTTTTACTTTAAAAATAGGATAAAATAATTGGTTTTTCTCGATTGAAACGATCATTTGCTCAGTGTTGTGTTGGGCTCTGCTGATTGTGTATGTTAGGTGACTTGGAATCCCAAGCCCTCTTGAGTCGCAAATGTTGGGAGTGAGGGATAATTATGTTAACTACGTGTTGATGGTTAAATAATTTCGCTTCGGTGCTTGCATATTAAATGTACCTGGAAATGCATTTGAGAGGCCTGACCATATACTGTATTATAATGCCAAAATTTTAGTTACCTAATTCCACGAAATCCCACACCCTTTGCCTCAAAAACTCTGAAGGTGAAATCACGCACCGCCTAGGAAGTATTTATAGTTTCTTTATGTGTGCTATGACTGCTCAATAAACTTTATATTATGCCTTACAACCTCCGAAACTAATGTAAGATAAGAAGTTCCCACTGCACACTATAAATCATAACAAACCGATAAGCCAAAAGTTGACATTGTAAAAAGTATTTAGTGGATGTATTTTAGTCTGTACAATTCCAAGTACTGCCTTATTCCAAAATTTAATCTTTGCCTATATATTTACTAAAACTGCTGAGTCAGCATTTGTACTACGACAGCGATAAAATCTGGCTAATCAAAAGTTAAATGCTTTTTATATCGTAGTACTGGAATTTAATACTTTTAAATACGACTTTTAGCAGATTAAGAGAGATTTTATATTTATTTGTATATAAATCGAAGTAAAATTATTTTTTAAAATTTATTGACAACCAAACAAAGAAATGAGCTACAAGGGTCTCTTATAGACACGAACCTATCTCTTCAATTTTACTATTAGCCTACACCCAGAAAACAAAATGGACTAAAAAGGGGCCTAATTACCTAAAATTTTAGGAAATATGGCCAGAAAAACGCGCCAAGGCCATGCATTACCTAAAATGTTGTCCATGTGGACTATATTTTGTACGCAGTCTTGAATTTATTTCTGGTAATGGTTACCTAAAAAAATGGCTAGTGGACTAGATTTTTAGGTCAGAATTACCTAAATATTAGGTATTTAAAAAAAAGCTAGGATTTTTACTATTGATAGTAACATATTTGATTATTTTAATTGCTTATATTGTATTATTCGGAAAAGCAAATATTTTATCTTTCTGAAAAAACAATCACTTTATTTTGTCCTCGGTGGGAATCGATCCCGGGTCTTCTGCGCGAGAGTCCAATAGGCTAGCCTCTGGTCTACGGAACTACTTAAAGGCCCTGCGGCAAAACCAAAGCCTGCTTCAAGGGGCTCAGGCGAATTCTATTTTTAGAATAGGGCACTATTACCTTAAAAGTAGGAAAATAGTCCACGTAGGTATTGATTTTATATATTGAAACTTTTCCATCACTAGCTTTAAGAAAAGTCTAAAAAATTTTTTAACATTAAACTTAAAAAACCGAATAATTTGTTTATTAATATTAGGGACCAATAGTTGTATTAAGTTGTGAGTGATAATCGACTTTAAATTATTCCTAAATTTTAGGTCTTATGGACCAATTTGAAGGTTACGATGGCCTATAAAAATCTCTTTAGCTTTACCTAAAAAGTAGGAACATAGTCCACATGCTAATATTTTTAGGTAACCCATTACCTAAATCTGAAATTTTAGTCTATTTAAATTTTTTAGGTCATACGTTACCTAAAAAATAGTCCCACATTTCTCTGGGTGTACCTTTAATCTTAGAATAAATACGCAGGGCGTTTGGTAGTCGAAGTATCTTCATTATAAACTATGGTATACATCACCAGATTGAAATCATCATAACCTGGCAGATGTGAGGCCCTAAAACGCGGCCATATCAATTTATTGTCCCCAATTATTTTGGACTTATGCGATAGATTAAATATAGAACTGGGTTTGGCACTTGTAACCATCGAGCAAATCACTTCAAATAGTCAACAACTTACTAGTAGCCAGATGTTTTCCAGCCAGGTGGTGCTGTGTTTGGCCACAGAGTGGTTTGGTGATAGTGGTGCCGGTGGTGCTACTGGTCTTTAGAGCCCTCACGTGCCTACACCCAGCTGGTTAGATTCGGAATTGTTGCTCATTGGCGGCAATTGCCGGATACCGTTTAAAATTAAGCCGCACAAATTGGCACGAGCGTGAGACATAGTACGGATTTGTCAGAAAATTGCTTTCAAAAATAACCGCGGAGAAATGCCGAACAACAAATAAATGTCTCACAAGATCAAAAGAAAACCAGAAGTATTTAACTTTTGTGTTTAGTTAGCCAATTATATGTCCACGCGATCGAGTAGCCTTGAAAAGTTAATGAAAAATCAAAAACTGAGACTTGACTCATGTGGCATTCCAATTGTCTAGATATATCTACATGTCTGGCTCTTTTTCTGTTGTTGTTGACATCCACATTGTCCACAAAGTGGGACAAATTCTATGCGAGTGCTCAAATAAACAAACATTATTATATAAACTTCGCGACAAGAGGCGCTGATTGCGTTCTACATATATCTTGTTTTCAGTTTTCCCCCCATCCAAGAGCGAGATTATGAATCTGAGCATTTGATGCGATTGCAATTTTACATAACACCCGACGTCTGGACAGCCCCTCCCTCCTATCCTCCACTCTATTCAGAACTTAAACGGTGTGTAGACACATCACATGAATGGACAGCGGGACGGAGCCGAATCCAGACTTTATAAAGTGCTGCGAATTATACAATCATTTTGAAATTCAATTCTTGGTCCAGACGAAATGCTGGGAAAGATGTTTAGATGCTGCACATAAATAAATAAATCAAGAACGTCCTTGAAGTCTGGCTGTTTGGATTTCCGTATGCGAATAGAATGAATAATACAGGCTAGCGCCAGAACTGTTTGGTATTCCTCGTTCGTAGAGCGTTGAGCCAGCAATATACCAAAGGATGGGCTTTCTGGGGTTAATGCCGTACCAGGCACCGCACGCACCTCTAATAGGATATATCCGCCCAATTCACCTTTCAATTGATGGACTACGCACTTTCTGGCCTATCTTGTTGTCAGTTGATTAATCCGCACGCACAAATCCCGGCGACAACTGAAAGTCAAGCGCAAAGGCATCTTGGATTTTGTGCCCCGAAAACACCAACCGATAACAGACATAACTGGCGTATCAAAACAATTTGATTAAATAACACTAATTGTGTGGTCGCCTGGAGAAAATCACTTCAAATTAATCTAATCGCCCACGCACATAATAATAGGAATTGCCAGTGCTAGTATTTACGGACATTTCTCCGGGTTCGATGGGTGCAAAGTCATTCAAGAGATTGACACAACGATTTCGTCTGTTTGTTGGTTTGCCAATTCGAGTATTTAGTTTGTTTGAAGTGCGTGAAGTACGGAGATAGGGCCACGTTTCTATCGGATAGTTGTATCTGATATTAGTTAGTTAAAGAAGTCGCCAAACAAACCTAGGTTAGGACCAGACCAGAAGTATCACTTTCAGGCCCAAAGATAAGCCCCATCTCGGGCGCGCAGGCACAGCCACAGATACAGATGCAGACCTCCACACACCATATGCCCATGTCGACGTCAGTTGCGCCGGCAGATCCTCAAGCGGCGTTGATTGGTCGGCGACGACATTTCCGAGCGCCAGCCGAGCCAGCAGCCGAAGTCTGCCAGCTCTACACTGCAAACGCAATTCGAGTGCGAAGCGATTTTAAATGAAATAAATGAAACGAAGTGGTTGCTTATTTTAGAAAATTAAACATGTATTAAAGGCTTAAAAAAACAAGGTCTTTGAAACTTTGTTTTCTTGGGTTAAGCCCAATAAATATTAGTAATGTAAACTGTAACAAATATATTGAAGGGAACTTAAACTTATTAAATATTACTTTATACCTGCTTACAAAGGTGCCAATTAATTTAAGAATAAATAAAATGTCTATCTCTTATAATCGCTCTGTTAGTAATTCATTTATTTAATTATTACTTACCATTTAAAACGCAATTCATATTTTTTACTCTCCGAATTCCAGATTTCTTTATAATTAAAGGAATGTTTATAATGAAAATATAATTTTTAAATGGTTAACAGAAATATAACTGAAGAAAATTTTTTAAATCCCGACTATCTAATACCTGTTAAGCGAGTGCGAGGAAGATGGAGACAGACAGACAGACGGACGGATAGACAGACATGGCTATATACTGTTACATACTTTTGAACGAATACAATATATCCTTTTACTCTACGAGTAACGGGTATAAAAATTTACAATAAAGCTAACACCAAAACATTTTCAATAAAGTTTTTCCGTTCGGATTTTCTTGCGGTGTCGGCAGCAACGCAGCGTTTACGACCATAACAAAGTAGATATGCCCCGGCACAACCAAATTTTTTCTTATTTAAGACTAAAAAACCGACTCGCGCAAATCACTTCATACTTGGTTCTTAGAGGGAACACATCGAGAAGCTGAACAACAGCCAGAGAGCCAGAAACAAAAATCAAATCAGCTATAAAAATACAAAAGTTCGCCAGCCGGTCTCCAGCTGAAGAGGAAAATATAACAATTAAGTTCGTGCAAAAAATACAGTGAACAATGTGCAAGCAATGAGTACATTTTAATTGCTACACCATCTAGTGATTACCGTTACGAAAAAGACAAATATTTTCCTGAGAATATTTAGTTTGGTAAAGCCAAAAAAAGAACGAAAAAATGGCAAGTGCTGTGCGTGGTGAGAAGTGCGGAAGGAGCCTCATTCGAGAGCTAATTGTTATCCTGGCGTTAGTCTCGATGGCAGGGGAGTCGAAGGCATCTCCTTTCGATCCAAACTTCATGATAGAGGGCGTGCAGTCGGAAGTTGTGAACCCATTTAACCGCACCATCTTTAACCGCTTCAACCTAACTGAGGAGCAAATCCTAGACATCCAGAACCGCAGTAATCCCAATTTGAGAGACAATACCGGTCCGTCCTCCAATCAGTATCTTCAGCAGGTCGCCACCCACCGGTAAGTGCCAAGCACCTCGAAATGGCCAAAGAACACGCTGTCAATCACTGTCACGCTTCTGCCCAGAATAGAAACCTCTTTGCCCAGAAATAGAAATCTAAATAAAAAACCGCTCTACTCAAGCAAATGACCGCATGAAAAAATGCTTAACAAAAAATTATAAAAAGTTGCTATTTTGTATACAACAATTTTAAGCAGTGCACTTTGCAATAAAACGCTCCATCAGTTTCGCCCATACATTGTATATAAACACAATTGGCTGCTGCCAAATTTCAAAAATATTTGTTAAGTGAGAGATTTGTCCAAACTCAGGCCAATTTCATTCAAGGCTAAAAACATTTGTGCATCTCGCTATTGCGGCCAAACACCCAAAGAAATCTATAGCGCCGTACTTTTTCAAGTATATTTTAAAAAGTACATTGTACATGCTTTGCTTCATTTGGTTTATCTTCGACACGATTTCCACCCCTGCAAACCGATTCGCTGAATTAATAAGAATAAGTTTTGAAAATTAATATTTTCCCATGGGATTTTCCACATGTGCTCGCGATTATTATTTATTTATTGATTGAATGCATCGCTTAATGCGTGATGTTCTTACGAAAAGTCATAAATGTTATGGCCTCGCTTAGCAGACCGAAACTTATGATCAATAAATAATATTAGCTATATACGAAAAGCGTGCCAACAAATTGCGTCTTTTGTTTGTGATTATCGGAAATTAGAGTGATTAGAATTTAAAATTATAAATCGTTCGATAAATCTAGCCTTTAATGATAAAACATATCTAACATAAAATCAAATTCAAAGAAGAAATACAAATAATGAATAATAAAATGGTTTATTTTATTAAAATCCTGTTTAGCTTTCTCGACAAAGTCATTCTAAGTATTTATCAAACAATATCAAACAACCCACATTAAACATTGAGCCTTTTAAAGCCTTATTTTGACCCCACAATATTGATAATAAATTTCTATTAAAAATAATCTGGCTGAACCAGATCCGTTATTGGTATCTGTTGCATCCATCACATACTGTAGGGAGATTATACATTATTAAAAATTACCGTGCACCAGATTAAGTCTTCAAAGGCCTTTTAACCAACTTTCTGACCCCACCAATTCAAATAGATCAAAGTGACGAGGGCCTGGCAGCCCAGATCCATCAATGGTATCTGTTGTATCCATCAGATACTGTAGTGCAACTGTCGCGACGCCGCTGCACAATGCGGACACACTGAAAGGCTGCATCGAAATCCGTCGGCGGCGACCTCTGTGTCTTTGTGTGTCCGTCGGTGTGCCCGCGGATGTCTGGCACATGTCTGGAAGCAGTCTGGGAGCAGTCTGGGCCATGTCTAGCTATCCGGCTCCGACTCCGTCTCTCCGGTAATGAACTTTTTGTAGGTCGTTGCTATGCAGGTCGGGCATTCGTGGGGGCCAACAGCTGATATCTAAATTGTTTCATCTTATTTGATTGCTTTGGCAGAGTTCCGCTCCGCACAGACGGCAAAAAAAAATGCAAAAAAAGGCTAAAGGCAAAACTTATGACGTATAAGTAATATCGGGATAGCAGACATGTCTGCCCCCAGCAACTGGCGCAATGGTGCAATGCAAACAGTTGTAGGCGTGTGCACTTCGACTGACTGCAGTTCGCTGTTGGTTGCATGATAATGAAGTGCAGCCGGCGAGACACTGTCTAGCCGTTGTTGCTACTGTTGCTGTTGCTACTGGTGTTGCTGTTGCTGTTGCTGTCGCTGCTGCTGCTGCTGCTGTGGCCAAAGGCAACAAACTGCAAAACCGCAGACGCAGACACTGAGGCGATGCATTCGAGATGTCTGCCCCCAGCAAATGGAGGCCAATGCAAATTTCCTCCACAGCCCCCAAATCACCTGTCCCCCAAATGCGCCTCTGCGCATGCGTGACTCACGCATGAACAGAAATAGTATACTACAGCAGTCAGAGTATCTCGGTAGCATCTACCAAGCACCGGAAGAAAAGAATAATCTCAAACGGTTAGACTGTTACCATTAACAATTCTTGTTGTATACCAATACAACTTAAAAACCTTTGGCCCATTTTTTTTATTTTTAATGTCAGAATTTTGGGTAAAACTAATTTTTTAATGCTATTTTAAAGTAGTTGTTTTTTTTGTATTTGTTGTTTATTAATTAGTTCCTTAAAATTAACAGAACTAAACCTTAATTGCCATTAATTAAGAGCAATAAGATAGTTTAATCGGAAAAAGGTGATTTTTTAAAGATAAATGTACAGAGGCTGGAAGAATTCATTATCTTTACCGCTACAAATTTTAATAAACTGAAATATTTATTTAATCAGGAAAAAACGATTCCTATCATATCAATGACCCCTTAATATCGCCCATTTTTGACATGAATCCGATCAGATTGACCTCGATCTCGTGTGATTTTTTTCGGTGCAGCATCTAGGCCGGCAGACAGGCAGCGAGCAAACAACAAGCGGACGGAAAGACCGTCCGTCTGACAGACTGACAATCTGTCTAGACGGTGGCCAGACAAACGGCACGACTCAACGAGTTTTCAAGTTCATGCCACACAGCCAACTCCAGACGACTCCGCATTCTGGCATTCCTTGGCCAGCCCAGCTAGCCAGTTAGACAGACAGATTCAATTCGGTTCGATGCGATCGATGCGATCACAACGTAAACATAAACAAGAATCGATAATCAGCCATGGGCTTGGTTCAGTTTCGGTGCTGACTGAATACTGAAGCCTGAATGAGCAAGACCGAAAAACTGGAAGTCAGCAGGCGACCGACCGACCGACCGACCGTGTTTCATAATTATTTTTTGGCTAGACAAACTGCGCCGCGGGCCACACCAAAATCCAAGACAATTAATCAGTTATTTTGTTGATCTTTTTGTGCACTTCGTGTGGGGAAAATAAAAGCGAAACGTCAAGCATTTCTCAATTACCGATCCAGACGCATACAATTGTCCAATTTTCTGGCGAGAGAGTGAGTGTCCAGATTAGATCATAGCTAACTAACTATTGTTGTCTCCCCGGCCCCCTATGATATGATGATAGTACACTTACAGAAATGTCCCAAAAAGGTATTAATTTGTATAAATAGATGTTGCTTTGTACTTTCTTAAACTGCCATTTAAGCATTTTCCATTTCAGTTTACAAATCCACAGCCGTAAAGTTATATATCAGTCAGTGCTATACACATTATATCGATAAAAAAAAAAATAGTTAGACCTTTTTTTCCGTGTACTGGCAGAATCACAGACAGATTTCTGTCTCGATCTCAATGGGTTTTTAAGTGGCACGGGTCTGTCACTCGCTTCACTATGCGCACTTAGCTCATAATCAAGTTTAGGAAATATCCCGAACGAGCGAATAATGTGAAGGCATTTAATCAGCGCAGATTTCTCGGGCCAGTCTTGTTTAGTTGAACCTACTTTAAGAAAGAAAAATAGTTAAGTTTTCGCCAAGTCGGATGATTGCTCTCGGGATAAGCAGCTATCACCAGCGTTATTTAACGGGCTACTAATCTTGGTGACAAACTTATTGTTTAAGTGTCCAAAACAAAAAACACCATCACGCGTAGTTTATTTTTAACAACAATTATATGGCCTCGAAATCGAAGAACATTCGGAATTGGAATTACGAATTTCAATAACTCCTGCAATCTGAGATTTCGAGGGCGAGCAGTCCAAAGTAGGCGGATTATCTTGGAACGTAAACTGCTGACTATAGTCAATTGATAAAAGCTCACAATAATTCTTAATCGGTATCGGGAATTAGTTTTATGGCCCAAAACAGTGCACTGAACTCTGGCTATCACGCGATAGAGTTCTATGGAAAATAGTTTACTCATTATGGGTGGTTCCCAGATATTTTGGCCTCCGTTCGGCGGCAGTTTAACCAGTCCGTCGATAGGAACTAGTTTGCTTGCTGCGAGTGTTGTCCGGCTAAATTGAATCAAAGTTATACATTCTCGCCAAATGGAATAGAGCACGTTTTCCTCGCGGCTCATCTCTTGGCTTTTCTATTGTGAATGTCTGTAACAAGACGACCGCGCTCTGATGTCAATTAAGTGGGCCTTACATAAACACTTGAACTAAATTTTCTGGGCTGGACAATTTGAGTATACAAATAGCTTTAAGATGAGCCATGAATGGATGTTATTTATTTGGAACTCAGCACCCATTAGCTACAAGGGTGTATTGGAATTCGGTGTTAAAACAACATTCATGCTAGGAGGAATAGTGTTTAGTTGCCCAACAGCGCCCTTTATCACCAAATATTTCAGTAACAATATGTAAAATATGTATTAAAGTCTTAATAGTCTTATTTACACTCTATCTTATAACCCCAGACTCAACGACATCGCCAAGCGTGTTCAAAAAGCTATCTCAAACGATCCCAGCGTCAGCGTGTCCAAGGAAAAGGCCGGCTTTCCCATCTGCGAGGGGGAGACTACCAGACCGGAGGAGTGGCAGTTGGGCAACAACGTGACGCTCCAATTCGCCAGCAGCGTTTTCATTTCCAACAATGACGACCGTTTGAGCAGCGCTCTGCTCCGCCTCTATAAGACCAACCCCGGGCAGGCTCGCGATCAAAATCCAGGCCAGGTTCCAGCTCAGCCGGTCAGCACAGAGACCCCGGGCAGCACGTCACCAAATTGTGCGGAGCAGCCTCCTGTGGGTCCCCAGATTCGAGTCACGGTCTCCATTGTCCTCCAGCAGAGGAAGAAACGTAAGTTAGGTAGGATGACTCCGAACATATTTCCTAACAACAGAATAACTAAAAAGAAAGGAATTACCATTTTTAAGAATATTACTGGATGTTAGTAACAAAATTGAAGAATATATTTGTGTTCATTGTTCAAGTAAATAAATTAAATTAATTTGATACTGAAAAGGGGAATTGGCTTAATGGAAGCTTGGCTTAATCAGCAAAACATTTGTGTTAATTATTAATTAATATTTATAAATTTTATAAATATTATTATAAACACTATTATTACATTGATAAAGTAATCTGAATTCGTAGGGAAGGTATTCTAAAAATATTTTAGAATAATTTGTCAAGTAACCCAATCCCCTTTTCCATTCGCAGAGCGCAAGAAGCGCACCTGCAACACCGCCATGCTGAGCAGCTCCGCCACTGGTTGGGTGGAGATCGACGTGAAGTGTGCCCTCGCCTACTGGGAGCAGCAGCACCGCCAGAATCCACGCCAGCAGCAGCCCCACTTGACCTCCAGCGTGGTGGGAATTCTGATGATCGAGGTGCACGACGACGAGGAGAATCCGCTCAAGCCGGGGCTCTACTTTGAGCCACCCACTTGCGAACAGGCAGGTAAGCGTGTTGTTAGCCATGTCCAACTAACTGCTCCGGGAACGGATTGGAGGCGCCTCATCATCAGCGCCTCCCCATCAGTCACTTTCTATCTCTCACTCTCCACATCTATCCACATCCATCACGGTAGCGACAGGCCCCTTTCCCACCCAAAGCGGCGATTTGAATTTATTTACATTCCCGAAAAGGTCATTACTCAGGCAATTTCGGGGGCCGGACAGCAGGCAGACGTAAATTGAGCTTACCGAAAAAAAAGACAAAAAAAAAACAAGAAAATGTAATTCCAATGTAATTCCAGACCGAAATCGAAAATCGGTAGACGTAATACAAAAAATACCTAGTCGTCTGATTGTGCTGCCAAGTCAGCAGAATCTAAGTTTCAATTTACAATTTGTAGCCAGCACGTTTTTCTTACGAAATGCTTCCGTCCGTTGATTTGAAATTCATGGGGTTAGGTTGGTTGCCCAAAGTGGAGCGGAAGTAACGAAAGCCCTGAGATCTGTTTAGGATTGACTCATGTCATGTTATCGCCCTGGATCGGTAAGATACACAGTCGCAGACGGAGATTCAGCTCAAGGTGCTACTAATCGAAATAGCTCATACGCACCGTTGTGCGCAATGCTCGGCTTTCTTTGTTGTTTAGCTTATGCGCATTTTGCTGCGCGAAATCTTTGATGTTGTTGTTCTTGCTGTTTTTGCATGCCCTTCATTTGCGCGATTTCCAATTTGCATTGCATGACCTACAAAATATTTTTGACAGATTTTAATGGTTTCTTGGACTCGACGTCTATTGCAGAGATTGCAGTCCCATGGAGCGTTTACCGAACAGAACCGTTTAAGTCTCATCTGGCGAGTTGGACATTGCCAAGGTAAGTGTGGCATAGTAACTCTCGATTTCGATTTGAATTTTCTTATTTTAAATAAAATGGAAATGGCGGGAACTAAAATAATGAAATTAAAACTTTATGATTAAAAAAAATGGTCGTTTTACATACTAAAATTTTTGATTAAAAAAATTAAAGAAAACGATGACAAAATAACAATATTTATACTTCTTTACCAAATAACGGTTTTAAAGCAGTGGATCTTTTTAAAGCAGTGCATATAGAAGTAAAGTAGACGTAAAGTAAAAAAAAAATTAAATTGCGTATACTCTACTATTTATTTATAATACTAAATACTATATTTATTTACAAATCAATACAATAAAAAAAAATTTCAAAAAGTAATGTAATTGTTTGCATTTTTTTTTTTTTTTAATTTCTGTTATGTTTCTGTATGTAAGAAAAATATAAAGTGTAAAGTGTATTTTTGGAAATTTTTAAAAGGATAAGCTCAATCAAAACGGTATAAATTTTTAAATTATATTTATATGAAAGCTTAAGGGGTTATATACCTTTTTTGAGCGAAAAAATTGAGGGAACTTTGGATTTTTTTTTGGTGTGTAGCAATTATTTTATGACAGTGAAGTTATTATTTATTGATAGTACATGTTTTTATCGAAACAACAAACCTTTGTACTTGAAAAAATATGAATAATTTACGAAGTTATGGCAATTCTTTCGGAACCCTTTTTTTTTATAGCGGCTTGCGGTGACCACGATGGAAGTCCAGCAGGTCAACTTATATCAAAAAACCAAAAATTTTTAGTTAGTATAGTATTATATACAGTTCGTGAACGATTATTTTTAAGAATATTTGCTTTTTTCTGCATACAGTAACAATTTTTCCAAAAAGTTGATTTTTCGAGTTCTAAAAATTTTATTAAAAAATTCTGATCTGCGAAATTAAAATTGGCGCATAAAAACTGAATCGTTCACGAACTCGGCACAATCATTACGAATAATTAAAAAAAAAATTGAAGAAGATCGATCGAATAGTTCTTGCGCAATCGTGGTCACAGCGAAAGCACTTTTGGAAAAACACGACTTTGAGATAATCGCATTCAAAGTTTTACGTTGACGTTGCAACTATTGAAGTCGAGCGCGTCAAAACGCTGTTTTCCTATCGAACGATTATTCGGATCTGTATGAAAATTTGGGAAGATGTTCTCTAGGGGATATACTTTAGGATTCATAAAAAAAAAAATTTCGTTTTTTAGAAAAAAAAAAAAAGGTATATAACCCCTTAATCGTGTAAGCTCAATGTACCTATATTTGGCGTGTTTCGAACATATCTCTACAGAATTCCAATTATGCTTTTAATTACTGGCTTAAAAACAACGTTTAATCGGGCTAACAGTTAAAACTAGTCGCTTAAAAAACAAAATTAAAGGCAGTTCATTTTAAAATTTGAAATAAGAAAATTCAATCAGAATATAAAATTCAATCCAATCCAATCCAACTTAATAAAATGACTTTTTTACAGAAAACCAAGGTTAGACATTCTCTTCAACGGCAGCAACTCCATAAAGAGCATCTACAACACACCCAAGAGCAAAACGTACATCGAATCCACCACATCCAACTCACCAACGATCGACAACCAGCTAGACGAGAGCGGCGAATACGAAAGCCAGCAGCGTGGTCGCACTCACCTGCACCACCGGCGCCACCACCACAGCCACCAGCAGCCGGAATCGGACTCCGAATCCGCCCAATTGGAAGCCGAGATCGAGGCGGAGGAGCTGATGTCCTCGGCGAGCAACAGCGAACAGCAGATGGAGCCGATCTCGAACCACCACCGACATCGGACTGGCCATCATCATCCACACCAGCTGCATCAACACCATCAGCACCACCATCGCCACCCCAAGCACCATAAGATCCCGACCCACAAGCAGGAATAGATGTCACAATCGCCCACCCGAATCCTCATTCTCTCCCATCCACACTCATGCTGGTCTTATGATAATTTCTTGTTTTATATTTGTTACTTTAGGGCCAGTTGACTTAATTAGTTTTTAGTTGATCGGTTTCCCCAACCGCGTAACCTTATTTAAATTTAATATTTTAAATTTCTTTGTAAGCTAAGCCAGTTTTCGATCGAAATTCGATTTTAATTTTAAAATCTCTCTTATATTAGAAGCCTGTGATTTAGATGGGGTTGAATTCGCACATGTTTTGCAACAAAAATTGTTAGAAGCTCAAGAAGAAAAGCAAACCCGAAAAACAATTAATACGAATTTAAGTATTATATTTAGATGGTAAAACAAAATTTATTAATGCCTAATCGAAGCATTACAATCCCAGACTTCTGCACAATCCACTCGAAACCCCGAAAGTCAAGGACGAACCAAATCAAGCATTTTCGATTCCATTGATAAGCGTTTACAGTCCCGGAATACAGTTTTGTTACATAAATAAGTCACTAGGTTAAAAATGCCTTCCTGCTAGCAACAAGGCACCAAGAGCAGCCGTAAATCTCAAAATTCCCCTTCGGAACCCATTGTTCTGTTTTCTTTTTAAGATTTTATAAGAACCACATTTTCATTAGGTCAAATATCTATCGATGTATAACCCTTCACCTCCATCGTAACTAAGTCGATTGCAAGTATGAATAAAATATGAAATACAAATATATTAATAAATATAAGTCGCAAGCGTGTAAAGTTGCGAATCAAATAAAAATCCAGTTGACAACCGATTTTCCTCTGTTATCCCCCACTGGATCGGATTGTCACACGAGGGGCTTTACGATAAGATATGTTTCTTATTCTTATAAAATCCCAAAGAATTGTGATTAGAAATATTATTTAACTTTGCACTTGGCTACTTATTACACCAGCGATTGGCCAATCAGTTGTGAAATTTTTGCTATCGCCACTGCCTCTTCGACCACCAGTAAAGTTACCCAGACCCAGACCTTAATCAATGGGCGGAAATAGGACTTCATATCGCCGTGGCCAGCACACTTACCTCCTCACTATCGCAATCAGATTCCTCAAACGTCATCGCTATCGCCTGCAATCTGCGGAGAGGTATATGGCCCTCTGGAAATTATCTCGCAGTAATATCGGTATGGAACGCATGCCGAGAACGTCTCATTTTTAACAACCAGCTGATAAAACAGTATACATGTCATCCAGGTAATTGGGATGACATGTATTCAGCTATTCAGCTCTACACTGCCATCGCAGGTGTATTCCACTTAATTGGCAAGATACACAGAGAGAAATAAGAAAATATTTTTTTCTGCATGGAGGAAAAATATGGTAATCAGATGCTTTATTAATTCGAAATCAGTTCACATCCCTCTATATAAGTTCAGTAAAAAATTATACCTACTTTTCAAAATGCACCCAAAATACAATTACATTTTTGTAAATTGCTCTTCAGTTTATACCTCAATTTATAAGAAATGAGTTATCAAACCTATATTTATTTAAAAATTATTTCTTCGTGTTGGTAAATCAAATTAGCGCCTTCAAAAATATATCAATTCTTACCAAATTTAGTTGGGGCTGTCAAGTACCTATTGTTGAGAACAATACAAAAACAAATATTCAAATTTTATTAAAGGTTAAATATAGAAAAGCAGCTAAATCACAAAGTGGAAATAAACGTTATTTTATTAAATCACGGGATTATCATTGCCTCTAACTTATATTATCTCTTCTAATCGGCAAGGCCAACTGTATCAACATATTATAAATCATTAGATACAAATGTAAGAAAAAACGAACTGTGCCGATCCAAACCTGAAACTTCCTTATCAAATACCGTGTACTTGCGATCGTATTAAAAAGGCCCGGAGGGAATTAAACGAATTTAGTCTTGCCGCGAGTTTCAACGAGCTATGATGGCAGTTAGCCACAGTTTTTAGTCAGGCTAAGCAGATGCATTAATCAGTCATTAGTATTCGGCCAGTACGCACAGAGAGTAACGACTTTGAAAACCCGTTTCGGCTATAAAAAAAACGATAGTACTCATTAAATACAAAGCGAAAACAAATAATACAATAAGGTGAATTAACTGGCGTCGCACGAAATCAAGGCGCTATAATTATGTAGATTTAAAAAATAAAGTGATTTATGGTGTTTGCGGTTATATTTAAATGTAAAATATGCAAATTTGGCTACAGACTGCAGTTGAATGAAAATATTATTTAAGGCAAACATGTGTGCTTTGGTGACATGTTTTTTAGGAGCGTAAATAAGCGTGTTCTCAGAACTAGGCTATTATATACGAATGCTTTATTAACTTTCACGAGTTTGGCTAAATGCCACTTAGATAGTGCTATCAACACGAGTTTCGATTACCCTGAATGGAAAATCCTAACCGAAAGACCACCAAACGAGGATACATACTATATTGAATGGGATTTACAACCAGCATTATATCAGTATCAATAAAAGTTGAAGTGGCTTATTTACAATCAATGCCGTAGTTTACCCGCCCTTAACCTTTTGAATTAATCACCGGATATTATTGGAGGATCTATCCACGTGCCGCAGTAAAGCCATTGAATCTAAAAAACCAAGTGCCAAGTGCATTAAACGAGCTCTGGCCCACGTGCAGTATTAGAAAACTACTTTTCGGTTCCCATCGCTTTCTTTTGAGTGGGCACGAGTCGTCCAACTTGTCGAACTTTGATTTAGCTGGCCAAAAGAAACCTATCTTGTGGCGTTGGACACTTGACATATCTGCCCACTCGATGGCTGAAATAATTTGTTACAGATTATACCAGATTACGATTTCGGCCAATGACCAATAAATAACTTGTCACGGGTACTTTTTCGTTGTAGATGTCGGCCGAGTCTTCGAAGGGAGCTGTTAACAATGGATATGAAATGGATCATGTAAGTTAGCCCTAAATCACAATAAAATTTGGTTAAAGATCGAAAAATTTTTTATAGAAAGAATTGGACATACATGACTCTGAAGAATTTAAGGAACTGCCTCTGGAAAATATAAGCGAGGTCTCTAATCAAAAGGGATACTTTGATAACAATCCCAAAGTGGCGCGTATGGTAAAGATCTCAATTTATATACTCCTGCACCTCGTTGTTGTAGGTTACTTCTCGTATGCCACCTATCACTATCACGACATATGTGAGTATGCTCCAAAGTTATCACCAATCCAAAAGATAATTTGTTTCACCTTACAGCCAATTATGAGTGCTACTGGAAAGATAATCCATTGTGTGGTATCAACTTCTGCAGCGGTTATGGAATGCTATTGCTTCTCTTGGGATTCGTCTACTTGGGTCTGTTCTACTACTACGTCTTTAAGCCAACGGTGGGCCATAAACTGCATAGGAACTTTCTGAAGCCCTGGTCCAAAAAATGGCACAATTTCAGTAGAACCAGGTAGGTCAATCATTAACTTATTATTTTATGTGTGTGAAAAAACTTAAAGCCAGGAAATAGTTGTTTTTGTTGTAATTAAAAAATATATGTTTCTGTATTGTTTCTTTATAGAATTATTAGAAGCCTTTTTATTTTTCGAAGGCAATAATTTAAGTCAGATGTACCGTGGCTCGCAGAGACATATTTTAATTTAAAAGTTATCTAGCCGATAAACTTTTAAAGATATCAACAAAATTTAAACGCTGTCTAAATTCAGTAGTATTCTAAGAGAATATATCGCAATATACGCTTAATAATTTTTTAAAAGAACATTTAAAATTAAACATAAACTTAACATACCGACTTTTTTGATGTCACAGCTTATTTTGTGCAACCATTTTATGTTCGTTTTATTCGTAAGTTGGTCATTTTTAGAAGGTTTTCCTACTTCTACATTGTTTTGTGTATTATTAATAAAGTATTTAAAACTTTCATCAGATTTAAATACAGTTAAAAAAAAGAGTTATAAAGAAATTCAAAAAATGACTTAACTTTTTCAAACATAACAAAAGACCCACAAAATTGTTCATTTAAGTTTTAACAGAAATGTTAAGGACTTTGTTGCTTGCACGAAATAAGCTGCGACATGTAAAAAGCTACTTTTATTGAAATTTGTTCGATTTAAATTTTACCTAACAGAATAAAAACAAGAGAGAACGCTATATTCGGGTTGGTGTCCTAACTACCTAATACCCGTCACTCAGCTAAAGGGAAATCGAGGGAGATGGATAAATAACTTTTTTTTGATTGCGCATAATGAATGGTCCGATTTAAAAAATGTCTTCTACATTTCGATAGGTATAAATATCAGGGCTGTGAACCCATATTATTTTTGCATGGGTTCGGTTCGGTGTTTAAACCTAATCGACAGATAATGTTCCGGTTTGCGAACCGGTTCAATGATGAGCCGGAGCAGGGTTCAGGTTCGAACCAGGGTTCAAAAAAATAAATTTTTTTTTAAGGAAATAATAAAGGCAACATTTATTTCCATGTATTTTCATTTAAATATGTACCATAACATTAAGACTTATAGGTAAAGTTATAAGATTTATGATTTATAAAGTGTTTACCACTTAAGGCAAAGAGTATACTCTTTGATTTAGGGCCGGTTTCTCGAGTGCCGGCTAACATTTCTGGAACAGATAAAGTCCCTGCTAAGGCATTTTGGCTTTCTCGAGCATCAATGTGAGAGCTAACTTTGACAGGGACTCGGAGTCCCTGTTAAGCATTTTCGACTTGATAGAATGACAGCTGATTTCCCATAGCCAACTAAGAAGATGAAACGAAATCACAGCTGACTTTCCTTTGAATTATACCCAAATAGCTGATGAAATAATCGAAGCACGCTATTTTTGCGCTCTACAGCACAATTCTGTGCGTTAACAGCACTCTGTAATTGTTTCTCGTTTATATAAATTAAAGCAGTCGAGAAAGCAGATTTTCTTTTACGAACAGTTTTTCTGGTCTTTAAGTTTTTCGAACAAATAGCTATCAGGGACTTTGACAGGGACTCGAGAAACCGGCCCTTAATCGTGTAATTTTAATGTGGGCATACTGCGAAAAGTTTTGGAAGATGATAGCACTAGTTTACAGCCAAACTGCTCCAAGGCAATTGATGGCAAATTCTGTTAGTGCTCGACCCCCGAATCACGAAAATACCACTAATTTTTTTTTCGATGGCACAGTTTTTTTTTTAAAGATTTTTAAAAGTTCAAAATGTTAAATATCGGACTTTTTCGAATTTCTTCCTATATCTCGGGAAATATCCACCCAATTGGGCGAGTTTTTGTTTCATTATAAAGTCAATAGATCAGAGCTTAACTTTGCCATACAGATCAATATGATTGGATAAGTAATGGCAGCGCAGCAGCTCGACAAAGATGAAAAATGTGTTTTTGGTCCTCTGTAGGTCGGCTGTATGTATCGTAAAAACTCGAAATAAATCCGTTGAAAAATTATAATGGGTACAAACTTAAAGTTTACATCCCACTGGACAAAACAAGCCGAGTATGGCCCAAATTCATAAAAAATTGGATTTATGGTGGATTTTTAAAGTTCGGATTTTTCAACCTTTTTCGGTTGACAAAGTTCAAATTTTAGTTTTATCCTAGGCGGCGACATGTAAACAAATATGAGTGTTGATGGCAGCCGGGTCAAAAAATAGATAAATCAGATATTTAAAAGCTAGAAAATTATAAAAATGAATTTTTTTTTTTTTTTGTCCGGTGGGATGTAAACCTTAAGTTTATACACATTATAATTTTTCAACGGATTTATTTCGAGTTTTTACGATACATACAGCCGACCTACAGAGGACCAAAAAATACATTTTTTATCTTTGTCGAGCTGCTGCGCTGCCATTACTTATCCAATCATATTGATCTGTATGGCAAAGTTAAGCTCTGATCTATTGACTTTATAATGAAACAAAAACTGGCCCAATTGGGTGGATATTTCCCGAGATATAGGAAGAAATTCGAAAAAGTCCGATATTTAACATTTTGAATTTTAAAAAATCTTTAAAAAAAAACTGTGCCATCGAAAAAAAAATTAGTGGTATTTCCGGTTCGGTTCCGGTTTAATTATAAAAAAATTCTGCGCTCCGGTTTACGGTTTTCTACAAAAAGTGAACCAATCCGGTTCGGAGTGGTTCAGCTCCGGAGTGGTTCACAGCCCTGATAAATATACACAACAAAATTGCATTTATACTTCTCGGAAATTTTTAAGGTTGTGGGCGCCTGACACATTTTAAAATCGTTAGTAGGCGATTATGGGCGCTGCGGTGAAATATCAACCTTCTAGCTTTTGTAGTTTCCGAGATCTCAGCGTTCATACGGACGGACAGACAGACGGACAGACAGACATGGCTAGATCGACTCGGCCAGTGACCCTGATCAAGAATTTATATACTTTATAGGGTCGGAATACAATATACCTTTTACTCTACGAGTAACGGGTATAAAAATAATAAAATGGTTTAATGTAAATTAATATAACACTGAATAAAGCTGCCAAGAAATTTTGTTGATATCTACGTTACTTTATGAGTAATACGAGTTTAAAGGTTTATTTTAGCTCTGCACGAAAGAAGCTGCGAGCCACTTTAACTAATTAATCATCATTCTTAAGTTTAGATTTTTTAGGTAATAACGAAAAGTTTAAAAAGGTACATTTTATTAACTACTCTCTTCTTAATCTTCTCCAGGATTGTGTCCCTGGCCAGCATCGCCTTGCTCCTCGCCCTTTTGGCCATATTCGTGTACTTCGAGACCCGCAATGAGCCACAGAAGCTGGTGTCCCTGGTAGGTCCCTGTTTTTTCATCCTGTGCGGCTACGTCTTCTCCACAAAGCGAAGTGCCATTAAGTGGCGTATCGTGATCACGGGAATCACGTGCCAGTTCCTGCTCGGTATCTTCTGCATCCGCTGGGAGGTAGGCCGCAAGATTTTCGAATGTTTGGGCAACAAAGTGGCCACTTTCCTGGGATACGCAACCGACGGAGCCGAATTCGTGTTCGGCGACTTCCTGGTGACAAACAACGTGTTTGCCTTCGCCATCCTGCCGGTGATCTTCTTCTTCAGCTTCTTTATCTCTATCCTATACTACATGGGTACGATGCAATGGGTGGTTGTCAAGCTTGGATGGATACTGCAGCAAATCCTGGGCACCACCGTCTGCGAGAGTGTGACGGCGGCGGCCAATATCTTCCTGGGGATGTCCGAGAGTCCGCTGCTCATACGGCCGTACATCAACAAGCTGACCAAGAGCGAGATTCACAGCATAATGGTGTCTGGCTTTGCGACGGTGTCTGGGACCGTGCTGGCTGCCTACTTGTCCTTCGGCGCATCCGCTGCCCACTTAATCACCTCCTCGGTGATGGCAGCTCCCGCCACGCTGGCCATCTCCAAGCTCTACATGCCGGAGACCGAGGAGAGCCAGACCTCGTCGGATTCAATTGAGTTGGAAAAATCGTAAGTCCTCCAGAACAACCCAGTTTGGTTGCAAATATTAAGAAGAGTAGTTACTAGTTACCATAATTCATTGTGTTTTATCCTTGTAGGCAGGACTCCTCACTGTTAGATGCAGCGTCCAGCGGAGCCAGCAACGCAGTACCCATTGTTCTTGGCATCATAGCCAATATTGTGGCCTTCGTGGCCTTCATCGCCTTCCTCAATGGCCTGGTCAGTTGGTTCGGGTATTTGGTAGGTCTGGAGCACGTTGACTTCGAGTGGATATTTTCAAAGTTGTTCATTCCGCTCGTCTGGGCAATGGGGGTGCCGAATGAGGACTGCGATATCATCGCTAAAGTGGTTGCCACCAAGACCATAATCAATGAGTTTGTGGCCTATGAGCGCCTGGGTCAATATATCGAAAGTGGCCAAATCACCGTAAGTGCACGATGATCTAGATTATGTAATCATGTAAAATTTAACCCCCTTTGAATTACCGTAGGCCCGCAGCGCTGGAATCGCCACTTTCGCCATCTGCGGCTTCGCCAATCCCAGTTCCTTGGGTATCCTCATCGGATCCCTCAGTGCCATGGCGCCCCATCGTCGCTCCACCATCACATCGGTGGCTTTCCGAGCCTTTGTGGTGGGCAGCATAGTCTGCTTTGTATCCGCCAGTTTTGCAGGTCAGTAGTTTACTAATTTAAATGTCTCGAGCAGTAATTGCATTAAATCCTTTTCTTTTGTGTTCCTGCAGGCATCCTAATACAAGAAGACGACGAAAAGGCGAACTACAACAGGATATTCGAAAAATTGGGTCGGAAAAACGCAACTCATTTTTAGTTCCTTGCACTGATAATTAGCAGATGAAATTAAACTAAAATAATTATTTATTAAATAAACTTGTTGCTATAATTATTACTACTTATAAGAGGGCCTTGGGATGTAAATCACACAGTTCCCATAGTACTTCTTCGCATAGTTCTTTTCGACAACACACAACTTAAACTAAATTCGAGATGGCTGACGCGGAGCCACAAGTAGAACCACCGGAGGAAAAGCCACCGCGATCGAAAGCCAAGAGAATCACATATATAGTTCTTCATGTATTGCTTCACATTATCTTCATATCGCACTTTACTGCAGCAACAGTCATCTTTATATTATTTGGTAAGTGTTGTGCGCGCCATATGAAATCTTACCTGAAATATCATGGGTCTAGACAAGGAATCCGACGAATGCATTCCACCTCGAAGTCCCGCTGAAGAAACTACGGAATCGGTGGGAAATTCGACTACAAGTGCCCCAACCGAAAGCCCTTCCCCGGAACCGGGGCCCACGTTTAAGGCGAATATTCTGTGTAAAATGAACTGGTGCCATGGATACGGGTCCCTCATAGTTATTTTTGTCATTTTCTATATATTATGGCTGTACTATTGGGTATTTAAGCCTTATGTGGGTATTAGGCTGTATAACAACTACCTGGAACCAGCCATCGAGCAATGGATTCTGTTCAGTCGCAAGATGTAAGTGGGAACTACGTATGAGAGCCTAACAGATTTTACAAAGATGGTGTTCAAATCCAGGATAGTTTCCGGAGTAATGCTAATGATTGTGGTCTCTTTGGCGGTGGCCTACCTGGGTTACGAGTGCCGCTATGACGCAAACAAAGCGATCGGGCTGGCGGGACCTGTGTTCTTTGTTCTGACCGGATTCGCTGTGTCCAAGCACCACAAAAGGGTCCCTTGGCGCATCGTGACCCACGGTCTTCTAGGACAGCTCCTGCTGGGCATCTTCTGCATGCGTGTCTTTTTCGGACGCTCAATCTTTCAATGTCTCGGGGAAAGGGTCGCCACTTTCCTGAACTTCGCCCAGCACGGAGCCCGCTTTGTATACGGGGATCGGATCTGCGACGACTTTGTCTTCGCTTTTGCCATACTGGCGGTGGTGTTCTTCTTTAGTGTCATCACTAGCATCATGTACTACCTGGGCTGGATGCAGTTCGTCCTGAGCGGCCTTGGGTTTTTGCTCCAGGCCATGGTGGGCACCACGGTCTGTGAGAGTGTGAATGCAGCGGGTAACATCTTCCTGGGCATGTCCGAGAGTCCCCTGATCATCAGGCCGTACATCCTGATACTGACCATGAGCGAGTTGCATACAATTTGCACATCCGGATATTGCACGGTTGCGGGTACAGTTTTCGGAGCGTACGTCTCCTTCGGTGCCTCGCCCGCCTTCCTGATCACGGCCAGCGTGATGGCTGCTCCGGGTTCCCTGGCCTTCTCCAAGCTGTTTTACCCCGAGACCGAGGAATCGCTGACCAGGGCGGACAACATGCAGATGGAAAAATCGTAAGTGCCATTTCTCTATTTCTCTATTTTAAATTTTAATAACCCCCTAATCACTCTATTAAGGCCAGATTCTTCCATTTTGGATGCAGCAGCCAGTGGAGCAGCGGCAGCCTTGATGATTGTACTCGGAATCGTGTCGAACATCATTGCCTTTCTATCCATAATGTTCTTCCTTAACGCATTGACCGAGTGGACTTTTGAGCTTATCGGTCTGAAGAACATCACCCTGCTCTTCATTCTCTCTCAGTTGTTTGTCCCAATAGTCTTCTTGATGGGCGTACCGTGGCACGACTGTCAATATGTTGGGCAGTTAGTGGCCGAGAAATCGCTGATCAACGAGTTTATCGCCTACAAGCACCTAGGGGATTTGGTACGCCTGAATTTGATCGAAGTAAGTATCCATCTGCAGGTGCTATTTTATGTACTTTGAATTAATATCTATTGTGTAGCCGCGAAGTGCTGCAATTGCCACTTTTGCGCTTTGCGGATTCGCCAACCCAGGGTCTCTGGGCATTCTCATCGCGGCTCTGACTGCAATGGCACCAACAAGACGAGGAGATATCACAAAGGTGGCTTTTCGAGCTTATTTTGCAGGCAGTTTTGTAAGTTTCACATCCGCTTCGCTTGCAGGTGAGTTTTCAAATTTACAAATTATATCTACCATTTAAACGCAACTCATCTTTATTAGGTATTCTTATTCAAGGTGATTTTAAGTAATGGACGTTCCAAAAAATAACAAATCGCACCATGTAAACTAAATGAATGAAGATCTTTTTTTTTGCATGACTCTATTTAAATTGGCCATTATTTTTTTGTACAGATCCCAGTCGGCATTATCGAAGGCCTCACTGCACTGGCCCAACTGGAGTGAGCCCTCGTAGATTTCACGTAGGATTTCCTTAGGCGGTATTTCAATGCGGTTTCGTTTAACGCTAGGGCCTGAGCAAACGTGTTCCAAACGGCGTGTGTAGCTTGACTTACTGACATCGAATGAACTATCTAACAATGAATCCAGAGTTCCTGGTTTCATTCGCAAAGCCTCAAACAATGGTTGCACATCAACACCTATAACGTGGCGGGCACTAAATACTCTAAGTTGGGCATCATCGCTGGCTTTACAAGTGTCGAGGAACTTTTGTCGGTGCCAGTTGGTGCATCCATTATTTGTGTTTAGTCCCCGCAGTATCAGTAGTTGTGTTGATTTGGTTCCTCGAGCTAGCAACTTGAAATAGGCACTAGTAAAGGCCGTACTATTGGCAAGGCACATCAGTTCCTTGGCTATTTCTGAGGTGCGATGAAACCACTGAGAACAGTCTGTTTGATTATGCTCAACCAACACTTCTAGAAGAGCAGCCTGATGGTTAAACAAAGGTTGGGTTTTGTAATTTTGTAAACAAACTAGCACTAACCGTTTCATAGTAGACCTCAATTTGTGTGGGCGCTGAAGATGAAATGTGTTCTAAGCGCTTCAATAGCGTCATTCCCACTTGGGCATTTGATGTTGCTACAGCAGATAGGTGTCGAAAATTTCGAACGCTCATGGCAGGAAGCTCTTGCTTTCCCATGTTGTGAAAATACTTAAGAAATCGCTGCACATGAAATTGGCTGGGGTTTTGGGAGAATAGGGCAAAAGAGTTATTACATCTATTCCAGAAAGCTACGGCTTGTTCTATGTCATTGTCTTCCCAACACTTATTAACCTCTTTCAGCCTAAAATAAAAATTAGTTCTAGGTATTAACTGAATAGTTCATGTACTAAAATTACTTACCGAAAACACAGCATGAGTATATCCGCACACACCTGCGGCGTAATAATATCCTTTTCAAATAAGCCAGCACAGAAATAACTATGAAGTTCTCTGTTTGACACCAAATACAAGAGACTACCAAAAGCATCTATTAGTCGTTCATAACGATCAGCATTGCCAAAGTTGGTGGCATCTGTTAATTCAATAAATAATAGGTAAGCAATAAATTAAATATTAAAGGTGCCTTACCTTTAAACAAACACTCAAAGATTTTGGTCAATGTTTGACAAGTTTTTGGAAGGACATCCGCGTTGTCTGTAGATACAACAGCTATAAAATCCATGCAAACATCATAGTTATCCCGTTCTGGTGTACACAGAATACCGGACATTAAATACTAAAATATAAACTCCTAAACATATACAAAAAAATCTTATAATCATCTGGATATCTACAGAAATTGACTGTCACTTGCTAAGGAGAGAATTCTGCAGTATCCGGATATGCTTTCTAATTTACCTCTTGACATTTTTGGAATGAGTAAACCATCTCATACAGATCCAATACATGTGGTCTAACATACTTCGATATAAGCTGTTGAATATCCTTGTCAGAATAATATGATGGCCTCCTAAGAGGATGGAAAATTATAACAAATGCTTTTACATTTTTAATAACTTACGCTTGCTCACACATTATTAAATCCATGAGGCAACCTGCTAATTCATCGTCAATTTGGGTTACACCGTTTTCGAATATCTGCGCCAGCATTAAAAAGTAGGTCCGCATAACTTCCATAAATTCTTCCAGGTTTTCCACGGGAACAGTGAGTGTGCCCTGGACAAAAAATATTAGTTTTTGCAAAAGGTAATAGAAGTAATTGTAAGCACATACGTTTTTGTAAAGTCCCTCCAAGTAACTGAGAATCATGTCACATAGATGCGAAACAGTTTCCTTTAGCCATTCGGGTATTTGTTCATCTTTGAGATTAACGAACGACATGTAGTGCAGGCACATGTAAGTAATCGTCTCACTTGTCCTCATAGCTAACTCAAGATCCTTAATTTGTTTACTCTCGACATCAGCGATATCCATTAACTTCTGCATCACTAAAATGAATACATTTGTAAGGCATTGGAAAAATAAATAGTGCATTTCTAAATCCTTAAAATTAAGGTTATATCGAAAGTTAAAAGCAAAGCTTTAAAACTGAGAGACTAGAAACGCATAGCAACGGACATGGCTAGATGAGCTTGGCTATTGGTGCTGATCAAGAATATATATACTTTATGTGGTCGGAAACGTCTCCTTCACTGCGTTGTAAACACCTGACTGAAATTATAATACCCCTGCAAGGGTATAAAAATAGTAGTCCTTAAATTAAGCTTAAAAACAAAACATGATTGTTGGATAGTATCAAAAAGACAAACTTACATGGAGTTAGGCGAGGATGGACTTTATTTGATCCAGTCGTATTCTCTTTTAGCAGAGAAAGAACAGCAAACTGAAGATCTACGACAATCTGATGTTCACTCCTGTTGCTGAATTAAATATGTTATATATAGACATAGACATATCGATTTTATAGATAGACTTACCTTCCTACTAAGAAAAAGTCTATCATAGAAAGCAATAGATACGTGCAGATATGAACCAGGCGTTCACCCGCTTTTAACACACGATCCCGGGATACTGTTATAAAGGCAAGAGCCTCTTGCAAGAGTTTTTTATGAGCGCTGTGAGCTTCAGTGCCAGAGTCAGATTCCTGAGGATAAAACCGCCGTTAATTAACTAGAAATCAATACCTAACGATACCAACATATGTACCTGTTGGAACCACTTGCACATTTCCTTTACTGCTTGGATACAGCACACAGATTCATCGATGTACGCCCGTAATAGTTTACTAAACCATAATGTCAAGACATCCACAGGATTCGCGGATTCGTTCAAGACACACTCGTTGCAGATACTTACGGCTGAGTCCACGTCGACCAGCAGGATGATATCTTCCTGGTCTATAGCCTGCAACTCGCTGTAGCTTAGGGACACGCCCAGGCTATCAGTTTCCCCAGACATTTCTGGGCGTATCGTAAATCCAAAATCCTCCGGTGTGTTTACAAAATGATCGCGCCAATGCGGCGATAGAGATGTAAAAACTAACCTATCGATAGCCTTGCCTACAAAGAAATATGATAACGTTTACTAATTTAAATTTCATAAATTAAATACTCCTTTGTGCTCTTAATTTGTAAATGGTATTTACAATTTTATTTAAATATCTAATTAGCTGTATAAAAATTTATTTTTATTGTTGGCTAGTCAAAAACTAAACGCACATCGATAATTTTATGCCACAATCGATGGTTTGCCTTCTTCCATCACTAGTACTCGCGCACGTTGTTTTCTTTTTTTTACTTCGTTGTATTTTATTTACCAAAATGCAACGAAAGGAGGTCAATCCCTTTCAGATCCTGGGCCTTCGTCCTTGGTTGGTGAAGCAACTGACCAAACTGGGTAATGTCAAGCCAGTCCATGTTTAAGCCTGGCAACTAAGCCCCATTGCTTTTCAGGCCTGAAAGGAGCAACTCCCATTCAGCAAAACTGCATTCCGGCAATATTGGCGGGTCGGGACTGCATCGGGGCAGCCAAGACGGGATCGGGTAAGACCTTTGCCTTCGCCCTGCCCATTCTGGAGCGGCTGAGCGAGGAGCCAGTGAGCCACTTTGCCCTGGTCCTGACGCCCACCCACGAGCTGGCCTACCAGATATCCGAGCAGTTCCTGGTGGCCGGACAGGCGATGGGGGTGCGTGTGTGCGTCGTGTCCGGCGGCACAGACCAGATGATCGAGAGCCAGAAGCTGATGCAGCGTCCGCACATCGTGGTGGCCATGCCCGGTCGACTGGCCGACCACCTCACCGGCTGCGACACCTTCTCCTTCGACAACCTCAAGTATCTGGTTGTGGACGAGGCGGATCGCATGCTGAACGGCGACTTTGACGAGAGCCTGGCCGTTATCGAAAGGTGTTTGCCCAAGACCAGGCAGAACCTCTTCTTCTCCGCCACCATGAAGGACTTCATGAAGGAGTCCAGCATATTTCCCATTGCCAGCGATGTGAGTGTGTTGAATATTAATTGTTCCGGCTTTATAAAATGGTTCTGCGTTTAGTGCCTCGAATGGTCGCAGGATTCCGATGTGGCCACAGTGGAAACTCTGGAGCAGCGCTATCTGCTGTGCGCCGACTACGATCGTGACATGGTCTTGATCGAGTCACTGAGAAAGTATCGCGAAGAGAACGAAAACGCCAATGTCATGATTTTTACCAACACGAAAAAGTAAGTTTTTATTAAAAATTTATGGATTTTTAACCAGCAACATTATGGATATAAAAATACTTACAAATTCTTTTTAGGTACTGCCAGCTACTCTCGATGACCCTGAAGAGCATGGAAATTGATAACGTTTGCCTTCATGGCTTCATGCGTCAAAAGGAGCGCGTGGCTGCCCTCAGTCGCTTCAAGTCAAACCACATACGCACACTGATCGCTACGGATGTGGCTGCCAGAGGTCTGGACATACCCAGTGTCCAACTGGTGATGAATCACATGCTTCCCCGGACACCCAAGGAGTACATCCACAGAGTGGGCAGAACAGCTAGAGCGGGACGCAAGGGCATGTCCATCTCCATATTCCGCTTTCCGCGCGATCTGGAGCTCTTGGGCGCCATTGAGGAGGAGATCAACACAAAGCTCACAGAACATCCCATCGATCGTAAGCTTTTAATAGGTGAATTGATCGCGCTCTATTTAAATGCATGTTAATATACTTTAGAGCGCATGGTGGAGCGGATTTTTATGCAAGTGAATGTGACTCGTCGTGAATCTGAGATGCAATTGGACAATAACGATTTCGATGAACGAGCCCAGAACTACAGGCGCAAGACGTGGATAATGGAGGGCAAGGATCCAGATCAAATGGAAGCGCTGTAAGCAGTAAAAAATCTGAACTTTATTTTCCAAAACTAATTTGTATCTGAAACACAGGTATCGCAAAAAGCAGAAGGATAAACTGAAGGAAATTCGCCGGAATAGGAAACAGCAGCAGGAAGAGTCGGCTGCTAGTACGGAGGGCAAGGCTCTCCTCCAGGACGAACGCTTCAAATCAGTAGATAGTTCTAGGTTCGAGAAAAAGTGGAAAGGAAAAAGTAAATCCCCCAATGGCAACACCGAGAAGAAGCCATTAAAAAGGCTCAGCAAAGGCAAACCGGTTGTCCACAAGGGCAAACCAAATATTCAGAAGTCAAAACGAAAGCTTAAGCGTGATGTTTAAATATATGTATATGTAGTAACAAAATAACTTTTGAGCTTACACTGCTAAGTAGTTGCAAAATGCATACTTAAATAATTTCAAAAATTCAGACATGCTAAGGCTAGATAACCAGGCACTTGGGACGCATCGCTGGATTCAGTCTAAAGCTATTGTCAGAAGGGCATCCTCCGGATGGACCTCCAGCAATGCCTTGGCGCCATCGTTAAAGGGGAAGGAAATGCTGCCATCTATAACGAGGTCTGTAAAGAAGTAATATCATTATAGTAATGTTTACTGAGTCGTGTTCGAACTCTCGACTACTCACTGGCATCGATGCAATGCGACTTGACAAACACTGTCTGCACAAAGTCGCGCTCCTTGAAAGTCTTTGGCGAGGGCCACACGCCCACACAGATTTGCTCACGGATCGAATAGCAGAGACGCGGATCGTCCGGCGCGAATAGCAGCCCTTGGTTGTAACGCTGGGCAATCTCCTCCGCGTTCCGGCGCATCAACTTCACGTCCTCCGAACTGCTGTTGGGCAGGGAGCACAACAGGTCGTCCACATCCCGGCTGGTGATCCGATTGATGCTGGTGTGCCAGGAGGTTGAGCCCGTGCCCGTGCTGACACACAGTCCGGAGCATTTTGTTTTGTTAACCACGTCCTGGTGGTCCAGCACCAGCTGCAAGTGGGACACTCGGGCTGAGAGGTGTTCGCCTATAAATACCTGTGGATGAGACACATGGTGAATAGGACAGTAATTCCGATTGAAAACCTGGTTGTCTTACCTCGTTCAGAGCCAAGTACGGAAGGATGCGTTTCATTTTGGCCTTATACTTGTAAGCCATGTCCTGGTCCAGCATTTCGGGTGCAGTCGTGACCTGCTCCATCTTAACCTCTGTGTGCCGGAAGAGGTCCGTTGACTCCGGGATCTTTCCGTTACTGCCCAGCATCGTCGTCCGCACCCTCGAGCGATGCATCCACTTGAAGTCGCCCTGTCCAGAATTATAGTATATTTGTATTCGATCAAGAATATGGTGGTGGTTCCTAAACCTACGCTCTTGATGCGGGAAACGGCATCGGCGGGATTGTCCGAGTAGTGCTTGGGCAGCATAAGTCGACCCTCCGAGTGCAGTGGATCCGAATTGAAGCCCACGATCGGCGTCTTCTGCTGGCTGAGCGCGAAGAGCGGACTGGCGCGTCCAGCGGAGAGCAGGAAGGTACCATCGCCGCCTACCGGCACGATGACGTCCGCCCAGCTCATTACGTCCTTGCTCAACGAGCTTCTAAATTCAAGTCTGCTCGTTTAGTAAAGTCAACACACAAGGCGAGGGGCCGCATGGGAGACACGAAGTGTGTGGATGGTGAAGATCAATTGTAGCAGGTAGTAGTCACGAATCGAAGATACATATAAGGTATAGTATGTGACGAGGTGACGAGACACACAGCACAATATTGGGAGCAATGATTGGAGGTCTCTAACGGTAACGGTACCTACATATGAACCTACACATCTACATACAAACTTGGGATATCATTTCAAATAACAAAAAATCAGGGTCCGTAAATAACAGTTATTTAAGACTTTTATTTTAAAAGGCCTACTGAGATTTGTTCAATTTTTTATCAACAATTTTACTGGTTTTTAAGCACTTTATAGACACGGACAAATAACAGTTAATTTGCTTTCCAGATTTGTTGAAATGCATATGCTTTGTGAACAAGAGTAAAAAGAGTGTTATTTTTGACGTTTAAAACAAAATATCACAGTAGTCTTTTTAAAATAAAAGTCTCAAATAACTGTTATTTACGGTCCCTGCAAAAAATGTACTACGCTCAAAGTATGTACATTATATAAAAAATATCCTGGAATACCTTTTTTAAGAATGTAATTTGGTATTTTATTATTACTCATTTAGATAAAAGAGTAGCATAAAAATAGTATGTAGTTTTTGAAGACATGTACATATATATGTACCTAGTACCGCACACAGTTAAGAAGCATTCCGATCACTGATTAGGAGGACACAGTGGGTATGGTTGTACGCACCTGCTAGACAACTTTACCTCGCAGCCCACGTCCTGGAAACTCTGCACTACCCGGCGCTCAAAATCCTTGTGCACCTTGTGCAGATAGAGGACCATCTCCACGTCGGTTCCCCGATCACGGAGCTTTTGCTGCAACTGATCCGGCGACAGTTCCGGATGACGAAGCTGCTCGAACTCATAGCGAGACAACTTGGTGACCACCAGGGCTCGCTTTAGCTTAAAGTTGTTCGGCGTGAACTTGGCGTACTCTGTAAAATAGCCAGCAGGAAACGGACGGCTTCGTTAGTCCAATCTTTGTTGTGCCCTGGTTACAGGAAATTTACTCAACCCCTCTGGTACGATCTTCCTGCCACTCAAATGCATCGTACAAAGCAAAAACAAGTCGATTTCGATGGGAACCTCCCAGAACAGCTGATGAACTTTACAGTATACTCAGGAAAGTATTTTCGATTAATTTTAGTTATTTAAACACAAAAAAAATAATTTGTATCTTTTGTAATTTTCACGCTTTTTTTACAATCAGGTTTGTTTTATTTTGGTAAATATTTATTAAATTGGCGAGTTTGCTTTCCAAAAAAAATTCAAACTTGTTAATTATAATTATAATATTAATTATAATTAATTAATTATAACCAATTAAGCCAAAAAAACTACTAATTTAATACAAAAGTTACGCTTTTTTAGATTTCACACAGTTTTGGCTAACAAATGAAAAGCTTTATTAAAAACTGAATTAAGAAATACCAATAACCTCCTTTGTTTATGTTCTTTGGATAATATCAACTATTTAACAGAATACTTTTGCTAGCCAGTGTATCCGAGGAAAGTTCATCATGACAAAGAATTTGGCGAAAAAGTGTTTACTGATAATCTTCGGCTTGGTCAGAGTCAAAAGCGATTAGGGCCTGTCAAGGCGAGCCTACGAGCTGGTGATATAGTATTATGTTTATTCCAGCACATGCCAAAAGCTGATAATAAAGCGGCAACGAAAACACAGATAGCTGATGTGTGTAATATAACTGGAATTGCGCCATTTCAGCTCCAAAACCCCATTGATCCTTACCTTTGGAAAACTGTTGGAGCAACTGCTTCGATTTCAACATGCTGGGCACTGGTCAATACGAACAACTCACATTTAGTGTATTTATTTAGCGATTTAAATTTATTTCGTATTCTTTGGGAAAATCGTTTAGCCGAGTTCAACCGCTACAAAATCTACGCTCTACAAGTTACTGAATGAGAAGAATCAACGGCTCGTTGTTCTATTGGCTGCTTCTGTCGGCTTTTGAACAAAAAATAAAATAACTAAGTGTTGAGGTTAATGTTTAGCACTATCCGGAGTTACGATCACTGCTCACTATCGCGGTATCCGCTCCCGCTGATCATTTTCACGTCCACTCTCCGGCTGTTTGGCAGATTAACTGATTGATTATTACTCTGTTCCTCTTCGGCACATCGCTTATGTACGAAAATTTGCCTTCGCTGTAAATTTATCGCCGTTTGTTTCTATTTTCGTCCGCTTTCGCTTCTCACATCTCGCCCGTCCGTGTGTACTCCTTGTTGTGCATTGCTGATAAGCGGGCCAGCCTGTTCTTATCAGCCGAAATATGTATTGTATGTATAAAAAAAAACCTCCGTTGGCGACTGTTCACTCCCTGCCATTCACTGGCCGTCACCAAAGTCTTCTTCTTACCCTGCGCATGCCAAGAATTCGCACAGAATTCTTGGCGGGCACAACCTTGCTTATTTGAATTGGGAAATCATTGGAACTAAAAGTAAACTTAACATAGATCGGCTTCTTAAGTCTAACTTGCTGTCGGTTGTCTAGATGAAACGATTCTGGTGGTACTGTCCATCTAGTTCCGGCATGGCGTCACTTTGGGCCACCTCACTCCGCGCGCCCATCAGAGGTTGTCCTAAAATAAGGAAATAATTATTGTAGTTTTATAAAGCTAGTCCCAGAATAAACATAAAAGTCATGGTAAAAAACACAGCCAAAAGTTAAGTACAATTATACAAACAATTTAACTATACCTGGGACTGTGTTTCACTTCTTACGTAATTTTAAACGTCCAAATTAGATAAGCAAGCCAATTTAATAGCTCATTAGTATATTTGTTTCCCAAAAAGTATAAAAATAGACACTTTACCTGGAAAAATTAAGAGGAGTTCCCGAGGGCTTCGTTTTGGGCAGCACTCTTAAGGAAAAGCAGTACATTATGGGCCATTTTACTATAGTTTTCCTCCTCGAGATCGGATGTGGTGGTGGCCGTGCTCATTTCCTGGAAATGGCTACCCTGCGCTCTTCCAGCAAACATATCATTAGATGTGTTCGGTGAACGCAAAAATTCACAGCCCAAACGATTCTTCACACGGTTATCCGGAATATGCGACACCGAATCAATTAGAGAGGTGATCGAACTCGCGTTGGTCGTATCGTAGTGGTCCGGTCCCATCATGTTGGCGCTGGCATGCGGATCGTTGGGACCCTGGTAATCGTATTGGAAATGATTGTGTATGTTCATCAGTACGTCTCCTGGCTGCCTGGCATGATTTGTTTCGCTGCTGAAGGCATTGTAGGCGGTGCGCAACCGCTGCTCCCTGGCGTCCTGGGCCTGATGGTGACGACGATGGTTGTTGCTGTTTTGGTTGCGCCTCTGGTTGTTGGCATTCCGGAAACGGGACCCATCTCTCAGATCAAGGCGCGACTTGACGTTGCCACGTGCCTGGTCATTGGGAACCAGGGGAGCTGCTCCCGCTGGCCTGTTGACGTTGTTGCCGTAAATGCGCCACTGGGCGGAGGTTTGCGAGACTTCCTGGTTCAGAGACTCCTCCTCCCAGTACATCTTGTTGAAGTCGTTCATCTCGAAGCTCATCTGGCTCAAATTGGAATCGATGGCGCCATCTTCCTGGTATCCTTTGTCCAGCTCGGAGCCCTGAAGGTCGTCATCCTCGTCGTCGTCCTCATCTTCTGGACCAAGTTCCTTGTACGAGCGCAGGCGCCCCGCCTGACGCTTGGTCCTGTTTGTCATCGGCATCGAGGTGTAAGGACGGGGCACCTTCGGTTTCGGTACCACGCAATGTTCGTAGTACTCATCTGTGGGATTGGAAATCAAATTTAAACAAAACGGAAAATCGCAAGGGATGCCACCAATACGCACCCAAAGGCATCATGGCACCTGACGCATTGAAGTTCGTCATTTTGCGTTTTGCCACCCGATTAAGCCTAATATACGGAAAAACTCTCAACGCGAAAAGCTCGGCGCCGCGTCGGCAAGGAAAACAGTTAGAACGTCCCGCTCGCAGAGCTGCAAGCCCAACTATCGAATAGATGCAGTCGATATCAAGCAGAGCTGTTTACTAACACTGAACAGAATGGCCGCGTTCAGCGGAACAACATGATGGATTTCTTAGGGGCTGTCCATATTACGTAAGCACGTTTTTGGTGATTTTTGACCCCCTCCCCCTTGGTGATCAAAAGTAATCCATCAATATAAAAGATTTTTCTCTGCTTTCCTATCCATATATAATTAAAGGAAAAAAGTTTTTAAATAAATTCAACTTAGCGAGTCCGCTAACGTACTCAATAAATTCGTTAAATAAAAAAAATATATAATGATTGTAATCAAACATAATCATTCTAATGACCCACTCCCCCTAGGTGATTATGTAATGTATGGAGAGCCCCTTACGATAGTTCTGCAAGATGTAAGAATTTTGCATCAGTGATCAGGTAGCGTAAAAAAAATACGCTGCCTTTTCTTGATACGTGATACATGGCTTCTGGCATGTATCGATAGTCGAAATATCGAAACTTATTAACATAATAATTTGAATAAAAAGCCTAGTACTCAGTTCGGCTAAGAGTTTTACTAGTCGAAAAATATTAATATTTTAGGGTGACCGAAGTTTTCGAAGTTCATCCGCAATGCATGTACAATGGTCTTACTCTCAGCAAGCAAATTAACTGGCGCCAATTTTGAAATATTACAAAATGATTAGCCGACCTAGGTCGCAAGCTTTAAATTTGCTGTTGGAATGAGGATATATATTGCTGCAACTCCTACAGGCAGTTTTCCATTGGTTTTTGGGGTTTTCATTCTATTTATAATATGTTATTGGCACACCGCTTCTGCACAAACACAGCCAAAGATCAAATTTTTTATTCTTTGGTCGGCGGCTAAAGGCGTTCATCGGAGTTCATCCGCTAAATCTAGTATTTTTGTGGTATTTTCTCACTATTTCCTTAGCTCAACTGAGTACCGCGGTGGAAAAAAGTCCCAGCTAAAGGCTTTAGCTACCTATTTGCCTCTCGCTTACTCCTATGCTTAGCTAGCAGTTTTCGTCGTACTGAGTACTAGGCTAAAACCATAAATTCGGAGGAACTCTTTATAAATGTTCAACCATTTTTGATTTTTATGCATCTACGATAGCTGTGGTCAGTGCTGCAACTGCAGAGGCAGGGAAAATATTTTTTTTTTAATTTCACGCGCTCTGTTTGATATATTTGTTTACTTTAACGTCATTGCAATGTATCATGAGCGTTCAGCAGAACAAACTTGATTACTGATTACTGATCCATCAGTGATCAGGTATCATGTTGTTCTGCTGAACGCGCCCAATAGTTAATAAAAACCATAAATTCGGTGAAATTCATTATAAAGCCTAGTACTCAGTACAGCCTAGTACTCAGTACGACGAAAACTGCTAGCTAAGCATAGGAGTAAGCGAGAGGCAAATAGGTAGCTAAAGCCTTTAGCCTAGTACTGAGTACAGCCTAGTACTCAGTTCGGCTAAGAGTTTTACTAGTCGAAAAATATTAATCTTTTAGTGTGACCGAAGTTTTCGGAGTTCATCCGCAATGCATGTAGCACGGTCTTACTCTTAACAAACAAATTGACTGGCGCCAATTTTAAAATATTACAAAACGTTGAGCCGACCTGGGTCGCAAGCTTTAAATTCGCTATTGGAATGGAAATATGTATTGCAGCAACTCCTACAGGCAGTTTTCCATTGGTTTTTGTGGTTTTCCTTCCATTTATATGTTATTGGCACACCGATTCTGCACAAACACAGCCAAAGATTAAATTTTTTATTCTTTGGGCCGCGGCTAAAGGCGTTCATCGGAAAATTGTCGCGTTACAGGGCTGGAAAGTGAAATTTGTGGTATTTTTAAGCAGTATTAACCAGGCATGAACATTTTTCTGGACCCAACACTGATAATAGGCTGATAGGAACCGGGAAATATTAAAACTTTTTATTGTTGATATATACATGAACTTTATTTCGTATAGATTGGTATTTGATGAAATGATCTGGCAATATTTCAGTATTCCGAGGATGATCCAAGCTCATAAAGGGCAGTAGCAGTTCGTTTATCCAATAAAATTGCAGCGCAGCCACATGGGCTTCCCAGTCTCCATGATCTTGTCGTTTGCTTCGCGTGCTCCATTCGTTCATTAAGGCGACCTCCTGGTCGCATTTGAGCACAGGTGCAAAATCTGCTTTGACCATAGATGGCCATTCCATATTCAAATCGCACACGTTGACAGGCGACTGCTGGAAAAGGGCACATCTCCCTCCTTTTTGCGCACAATGTCCTTGTAGGCGTTTTTGCCCCGTGTCAGATTCTGTTCAGGGTCGTGCCACCGCAGAAGCTGCAGCTACTGCTGTCGCGGGTCGTGTCAAAGAATTATTTAAATGACTGTTCAGATCTATATATAAGAACGCCTTCTGCAGCAGATCCTTTTGCTTTCTGCCGTAAAAATTACTCAAGCAGCATAACGTGGGATGTAGGTAGTGCTTTCATCATTGCAGCAATGTTTCCACGCTGTTCAAATGCTGTTCTGCGTTTACAATTATCAATAACAAATTATTTAAATTCATTGTTTACTTGAGCTCGCAAATGACAATAGCAGAACAGCTGTTTTCAGATGCGTTTGCCAATGGAAACACTTCACGTACGCCTATCGCGTTGCCAATCGAAAATACACAAAAATACCGAAAAAACCGCATAGTGGAAAAATGCCTTTAGGGCCGCTTTCTCGAGTCCCTGTCTAAGTCCCTGATAGCTATCTGTTCGAAAAACTTAAAAACCAGATAAACTGTTCGTAAAAGCAAATCCGCTTTCTCGACTGCTTTAATTTATCTGAACGAGAAACAATTACAGAGTGCTGTTAACGCACTGTAAAGTGCAAAAAATGGCATGCTTCGATTATTTCATCAGCTGTTTGGGTATAATTCAAAGAAAAAGGCAACTGTGATTTCGTTTTTTCTTCATAGTTGGCTTTGGGAAATCAGCTGTCATTCTATCGAGCCGAAAACGCTTAACAGGGACTCCGAGTCCCTGTCAAAGTTAGCTCTCACATTTATGCTCGAGAAAGCCAAAATGCCTTAGCAGGGACTTTATCTCTTCGAGAAATGTTAGCCGGCACTCGAGAAACCGGCCCTTAGCCGAACTGAGTACTTACTCCTATGCTTAGCTAGCAGTTTTCGTCGTACTGAGTACTAAGTTTAAAAGTTGACAAATAACTCTTATTTGTTGATTTTTATAATAAAATTGGAAATAAATATTGAATTAAAATAACTCTTGAACTGTAAGGTGCATTGGTTTAAAATGTTTATATTTATAATCTACGCTTTAAAACCTTTCTGCTGATTTGCCATATGTCATCAGAATATTTTTTATAATGTACCAAATTGGTAAAGCAAAATAACAGGCGACATATAATTACAAAACCGGGTTAAGTAAATTGCATTCCAATACACATATAATACGAGATTTATTTGTTTAACTTTAGAAACATTAATTTTTTGATTGATTCCGACGATAGATTGCACCTTAAATCCGACAGCATTATTTTTAGGGCCGAAATAGAGCGTTCTACGGAGACCTTTTTAAATCAATTGGCTTTGGGAGGTAATTTTTGATTTCCGTAGACGCCAATTTAAGATGATCATCATCGCTGTCGGATTCTTCATTGCTTTCTACTTCGATTGAATTTAAAAATTCGCTTAAAAGCCCGCTTGAAGATGTATTAAGAGATGAAGTCGGTTTTGAATCATCATCTTCTATCAGTTGTTTAGACTCCTGTTAAATAAACAGGTTATAGTAAATATATGAATTATAATTAATTAAACTTACCGGTTTGTTTAACTTAAGTATTTGTCGCATTAGTTTTATTAAATGCGTTCTGGCTAACTCTTGCTGATTTGGATCGTTAATTAAAATCCGACAAATTCGTGGATCCAAATAAATGGCAGAGAGCATCACGTCATTTGTTGTGAGAATATTCTCACGACTTTTTAAGCAGAGCGTTAGATCCTTACTACGAACGTTATTCATAGATTTTATGGCTAATTTCGTTTCAAGCCAAAGCTTGTAAAAGTCACCAAAATATAGTTGTTCGCTTTGTAATTTTTGGGTTGCTTTGAAAATTGGCTCTAGTACAGTTAGAAGCAGTTCTATGTCCGTCCATTGGGAGATCGATAAATTCATATTCTCTTTGAGGTGGTCCTCGGTAAACTTTTTATAAATGCATGCACTTTTTAGCATCGAATATGTAGAATTCCACCTAGTCGGAAAATCGACTACCGGCTGGGGAAGAGACGTGTTCGAAATTGCTAGTCTACAAATTTCAGAAATTGTAAGATTTATTTTTTCGAATGTTAATTCACTATATTACCTGAAATTCGGTGTTCGCAAGGTCTTTATCATCTTCCTAGCTATTTTTATAATGTCCTGTCGACGTTCATTTTTTAAGAAGTCGTTAACTGCCAGTTGAATCAAGTGGGCTGCGAAGCGTATTGATGATATAGAGAAGACGTGAAAATCTTCCACAAGAATGTCATTTTCAAAATCATCCAACAGTGCAGAATCGTCATTTAAATATTCTATGGCCTTGATAATGTTTTTTCCGTTATCCGATGTAAGAGTATATACTTGCTGTTTGGACACAGAAAATTCTTCCAAAATTTGTTCGATCTTGAAGCTAAGGTTAAGTCCAGTCTGCTTCTGGTGCAGCTCAATTATGCCTAATGTCTTTATTTCAATAGAATTATTAGAATAATATTAAATATTGAGTCCTAGCACTTTTCTGGAGTGCCGCGATGCCATGTCGACCTTTACCGATATAATTTTATTTTTCAGGCTCTTCTGAAGATTTTTCTTCTCATAGTCATTCTTATCTGATATTAATTTCATTATCGTCCGGGATGTAATTGGTGTCATATTTAAGCCAGAAAAAATTTGTTCCGTTAACTTTTTAAACGGAGGGACTCGGCTCCGCTTAAAAGGC